TTCCGCGCTCTCGCTTGCACTTCAAGCCTTAAATGAAACGCCTCAGAGCGAGGTAACGCCGCATGAGTCATGTTTTTTCGTGCGTGCAGCCGGCTTCATCGAATTATAAGACGTTGTCACGTCAAAAAATTCGTAATTATATGTTTATATCTGAGTGAGACTTACCGACGAGACGTGATCGCATTACTTCATCGCCCAGTACGAACGCTCCAACGAAGGTGCTCTGCGCCTTGGGAAAGCTATAACAAAATGAAATTTTCAATCATTAAAAAGTTACTTTTTGAAAGGAATTTTACTGTAAGAGATAACGAAAGATATTCTGAAATTAAGTTACAGTGAAATTGATATACATTACAATGAAGAAACGTTTTAATTTTATAAATTCAAATATACATTCTTATGGAATAGTGAGAATTTTCATGTGAATGAGAATGTATGAAAAGGTGAGTGTGACGATTCAGGAGAGAGTGAGAATGAATGAAGAGGTGAGGTTGAGAAATTGTGTAAGAATGAGTGTGAGGATATATATAAGAGTGAGAATATATCAAAGGGTAAGGTGAGAATTTCAATGCGAGTAAGAATGTATGAAAGGGTCAGTGTGAGGATTTATGCCAGAGTGAGAACGCATGAAGGTATGAGGGTAACAAATTGTGTGAGGATGAAATTGAATAACATTAAAATAAAGAAACGTTTTAATTTTATAAGTTCAAATATATATTGTTGTGGAATAAAAATAAATAATTGCAATAGAAAAAAAAAACAAAATCAGTAAAAGTTGTATGCGCAGTTAGATATGGTTTAATAATTTAACTTCAGTAACAAAATTTAAAAAAAGTGAAGTAAGAAAATGTGACAGATACCACATTCTTTACTTTTGAGAATGAAAAGCAATTTTCCAAATGAAAAAATACGTACAATCAAATAATTGAATTACATAAGACATAAGAGTACAAAAATGAATTTAATGTATATTTTAAATATCTGAGTAACACTTACCGACGTGACCGCATCGCCCAGTACGAACACCCCAAAGAAGGTCCTCTACGCCTTGGAAAAGCTACAACAAAATGAAATTTTCAATAATTAAAATGCTACTTTATGGAAAGTTAGTTAACAAGTTGATTTAATAAACTTTATTTTTGTTTTTACACTGATTTTACTGAAAATTCCTGTTATAAGAAACCAGGGGAAAAGGGACTTATTAGCATGCCGGATACTAATGATATATGATTTTATTGTATTAGATATTGATGCACAGGTTGGTCAATGACTAAATGGAAACGAAAATTTACAATTTACTAGTAAAAAACGTACGTCAGTGTTCATGTTTCTTCAAAATCATTATTAAATACCTGATCTACAAATATAAATATTTGTCTAAGAAATAAAAATTAGCAAGTTTTATAAATAAACGAAAAGAAAATTTTTCAACGTAGAAATTATGCCAAAATTTGTTACTGGCGGTAGACTAGTTCGACCCAAATAATAAAAAATTACTGTAAAAAACAAAAAAGTAATCGTATACACAAAAAGGAAACATATTTAAATATCAACACACTGTATTTAATTGAACAAAACAAGTGATAATGTTATATTAAATTTTAAATATGTGTAATTTGATACTACAAGATATCGATGAAAAATAAAAAGTTGTTAATATCGTTTAAAAGGTTTAAAATTATGAGTATGTCCGGTTAAATGCTTTAAAATGAAAGAAAACGTGAACAAAGTAAAATAAAAGTTATATTAAATAATAAAGGTGTTAGTTTGTACTTGTAAACATTCACGAGATAATTTTATTGTAACGGATAATAAAAAATATTTTGAAATCAAATTATAATTGAAATTGAATAACATTAAAATGAAGAAACGTTTTAATCCTCTACATTCAAATATATCGTGTGGAGATAGATAAATTAGGTTATCCTATAATGAGAGAAGAGTTCGATGTAGCATTCAAAAACCTAAAGAATAATAAGGCCCTAATTATACACTGATATAGAGGCGGAAATTTGCAGGACAAGAGATTTGTGATCATATATTTAAACTAGTTAGTCACATTTACGAGATGGAAAAAGTCCCGGAGGGTTATAAACGGAACGTAATAGTAACCCTACCTAAAAAGAGAGACGCAGATAGGTGCGAGACATTTACACCAATTATCTTAACTTCCGAAGCGTCAAAAATCTTAACTAGAATTGTACAGAGGATGATGGACAAGATGTTAAATATACTTAAAGATGTAGGGATGAGTTACAGAGATAGAAGAGTGATACTTAGTTTGTATAAAAAACAACAGGCAGTTATAGAGCTGGAGCAGCAACGTAGTGAAGTAAATATTAGGAAGGGAGTCAGACAAGCATGCAC